AAGCTTGTTCTAAGTAGGTGCTTTAGACCACTGAGCCATCTCTCCAGCCCAGCATCTGATTATTTAAACAAAAAAGAAAAATGCAATTGAATAAAGATGTTTGTGGACTAGAACTAAAAATAAAAGACCCTAAAATTGTTCTCTTTGAGAAAAATACTTACGAGTTCTGTTTTCTTGTAGACTTAGATGTTTTTTGAGATCAGCTAGTTTTATAAATTTAATTTTCCTCTGACAGCATATAAAATCTTTGTAAGATTTTTATCTTGTAAATGAGACTTTTCTCTAATGATTCCATGTTGTTATCATCAACACCAGGTAAAGATTGATAATTATGGATGTACAAGTCCACTTATAAGGAAAAAGCTCTGACAAAATGTTCAGAAATCTTTAACACTTTAGAGATTTCAGAGTCTCTAAAACTGCAAAGATAACTGAGAGAGTAAATCAGCATATGTATTTTTGAATAATGGAGTAGATCAACTTTGATACTTGTCAAATACCCTGCACACATGGAAATGAGAATGAGCCAGTGCAAGTTACATATCAAGTTTAATGACACCTTAACTAGGAATGCTGCTGATGGGAAAAAAGACATCTGAGAAGCCTCTGAATATCAGAAAGCATTCCATATCCTTATGTGTGCATCTATGAGACAGTTTTACATAACTGATTCCTTCTGCTAAGATTATAAATACAACCTCAGGAGAAAAGTTACTTATTGAGAGAAAAATGTTAGGTTTAAAAGTTATAGTACCTGAAAATTAGGAGGAATAATAATTTTGCCAGCAGGAACTTGTAAAACAATCTTCTCTCCTTCAAACAGCCAGAGGTCCCACTCAGACTGATTGATAAGCAGGGCCCAGGGTAGAAGTTCTATCAACAAGGTTCTAACATATGGTTTCCAGATTGACAGCTTCACTCGCATTGGGCTATCCCACTGACTCAGCTGTTCATTCCTGTTCCAAATACCACATCCAAGAGACTCAATGAAATATGATGACTTCAGTATTTATGAAATATACTTAAGAATTCCAGACACATAATGCTCCTGTATGATAGCTCTTTACACCACAGTCACTCAATGCTGAGTTTGCCAGCAGGAAAAGCAACTTTTCATGCAATTATATTCTAGATTATGAGTTTAAAAATGTATAAATTGTATCTACTTGATGACAAAAGGTCAGAATCTGACAGATACATACAAATACCATTTTTGTACTATTTCATAGTATCTAATATTTTTGTGCATGGTTACTTAACATTTAGAAGTGTGTGAAGAAAAAAGTTGCTGAAGGATGTTACCTGTTGGAATCCTTCTTATTATAAGGCCACCTGGGCTCAAGTGATTTTTCTGGCCCATAAAAGTCATCAAGGATCTGATTAACTGTGCCTCCAGGGAGTATCTTAGTGGCTATCTGCCTAATGAGGGCTGTTGAGATGGGAACAGCACAATCTGAAGGATCATATTCTTCCCTAGGAAATGAAAAAAAAAAAGAAAAACAAAACAAAAAGAAAGAATGAACACCAGACTTTGAAAGTGGTCTACAATTTGTTTTTGAAAAATCTAACTATAACATATGCTGTAGATCAATACTTTTTGTGGGACTGAGTAAATTTTTGGTGACAAAGAAATTTACAACACAGTTTTTGGATGATCTGTGCCCAGAATTTTCCTACCCATCCACCAATGCGTAGGTGACATTTCTTCCATGGCAGAAATCATATGTTAATTAAATCTGACAGTGGGCATGGGAGACATTCCCCATCCTAGCACTTGGGTATCTGAAGCAGAAGGATCCTGAATTCAAGCTGAGTCTAGGATAACAGGCAAGTTGAAGGGTGACCTGGATTATACAGTGAGACTGTCTCAGAAACAAATAGCCAATCATGATGGTGCATGCCTGTAATCCCAGCACTTGGGAGGCAGAGGCAGGAGGATCACTGCAAGTTGGAGACCAGCCTGTGCTACAAAGTGAGCTTAAGGCCAGCCTGAACTGCATAAGAAGACCCTGTCTCAAAAAGACAAAAACAAACAAATAAATAAACATAAAAAATAACCACCCATTAAATCTAAATTCAGTTACATTTTTTTTTCTCAGCTTAATGAAAAAGGCTGACTTTTATCTAAAACTATACAAGAGAATTAAGAAAGTACTAGGCTGCATAACTTTCAAATAATATTCTCCTAAAATAAGAAAACATACAACAAAAGTTCCATCCAAGCTCGTCTTTTGCCCCAGAGCACAAGATTACTTTTCTGTTGAATTTCTTTTAAGAAAATATATGTATTTTGCTAATACCTTGCTTGAAATGTGAGGTGATGTACAAGGTCAGGTTCTATGTTTTGTAGTGGCTTTTCCTGCCCTTTTCCTGGAATAATCTGTGTTTCACTCAATCCTAGACTCCTTTTCTCCAAATGTATGATAATGGGGTCTGGAAGATGACTCCTCATGATAAAAAGAGGGCTGAACACAATCTATAAAAATAAAAGGACAGAACAACTTTCATATTTGCTTTGTTGCAGTATTCCAGCTGTTTGATGCTAAAACAAACTTGCAATAAATCTCTTCCTTAGGTCACTCTGACCTTAATTTATTTCAGAACAGGAAAGGTCAGAGTCGTATACCATATTTTAGGTTTGGGAACGTACTCACCATTCGTTGTTGCACTTGAGAGTTGGGTTCTAAAGTCAAAACTGTACACCAGACATAAATAATGGAGCTGTTTGAAGATGGCACCTGCACATGAGATAGAAAAGGGTCCTTTTAAAATACTAAACAATGAACTAATTAATCAAAATAGGACACTGATAAAAGACACTTGACCCTCAGTTTGGAGGATATGAAAGTCTGACGTTATAGAAAAAAAGTAACAAAACAAAATACCCCAAAAACCAACTTAGTAAAAACAGACCTCATTATAGCATAAAGCCCTAGTGCATGAGAGGTGTTATTTCTCTGCATCTGCAAGACAGAGATAGTAACAATATGAGAAGCACTTTTCAAAGTCTTTCTAAGTTTCTTCAGAACACTTCCCTTTTTTATGTATCACTCATTTATGACATATTGCATTAAGTGAAGTGCATATTGAGAAATTTCTCATGCTGCTGTACTCTAGACTGTGTTACTTCTCATACCTGGATGACTATACTATACTCAGCAGCTTTGGATTCCAGGCACACATCTCTTGACCAGTCCTCATCTCCTTTGGCCTTCACACACAACTCTGTCAGTTCACTGTTTTCCAATATGTATGAAGGTAATTTCTGTTTGGGTGTAAGGCAGTCAAAATGTTCTCGAACCACGGCATGTCCATCTTGACCAATGTAATGCTGAACAACTTTTAGTTCTATGCTTTCCGATAAGTAACTACAGATGATCTGTCTTCCACAAATGATAATCTAAAAGAGAATATATAAATATATAAGGCTTCATCAATTCAGACTTCATTAATGACAAGAAGGAAAGGAAATTTGAAGAAAAAATGAATTTTGCTGTGCCTATGTTGTGTTTTTTTTTT